CTCCATTCCTCCCGGCCTCCCATGTTCTTGTCTTCCTTGTCGAATCCCCAGTGTCCCTTCATCCGACGAGCTCAACCCGACCCCTTGCCTCCTTGCCTCCACTCACCAGGTGCTCATCACCTCACTGAAGCCGGACAAGCGCGGCAACCGCGGATCCAAGATCGGGCTGACCATGCGGTCCAAGACCGAGGTGGAGCTGGACCGCAAGCTGAAGAGCGGCGGGCTCCGGACGGAGGGTGCCGGCGGCGCGCCTGAGGACGCAGAGGAGTTTCACGCCATGGGCCAGGCACTCAAGATGGCTGGGCTGAACCTCTCTCTTTACCCCAAGGTAGGTTGGGGTTGTCGTGGAGAGGGTGTTGGACGAGTTGCAGAAGATGAGCGGGGGCATGCTTGGGAGGCCCAGAGCACAACACAGCAACGCGCACTGCCAGGAGTTGGCCAAGGCACTGCCCTTATCGCTCTGCACACTCTGCCGTCCCGAGACCTGCTTCTGCCGCTCGCGTTCTCACACTCCACTCCCCTCCTTACATCGCAACAGGCATCCTCTGTGTCGGTCGGTGGGGGTTCCGAGGTGCCTGCCGCCGACCAGCTCGTATCTGACGACGTCTTGATCTCCGACTCTAGCCCAGCAGAGGAGTCGCAGAGCGCGGCATCGAGCCCCGACGCAGTGTCCTCCCCCCTCGTCGACAGCGCCCCTGTTGTCGACGACTCCCCCCTGACCACCAAGGAGGAGGAAACTGTGGAGGAGCTGGCCACTGCCGAGGTCGATGCCCCCTCTGTCGTCGATAACCTGGATACCTCCTCCCTCGCCACGGACGCCATCGGCTCCCCGGCCAAAGACAAGCCGCTGGATGTTGCGGCAGCCGAGACGGCGGCGCCCGAGGAGGGGCCTGCCGCCGAGGAGGTGCCGGACGGCTCCCCCGAGGGCGCGCACGTCCCCGCAGCCGTAGAGGAAGAAGCCGCGCCGCCTGTCTCAGAGGCGGCCGCCCCAGAGGCTGCGTCCGTCGGCCTGGCCAGCGCCGACAGCCTGGTGGCGGACATGGCTGAGCAGGCCGAGAGCGCCGAGCAGGTGTCACCCCTGCGCGCCGTGCAGGCTGCCGCACAGCCCGAGGAGGCTTCTGCCCCCAAGGTCGCCCTCTCCACCGGGGCAGGACAGGAGAATGAAGGCGCCAACCCCGCTGCTACCGAGGCTGCCGCGCCGGGTGCGGCCAGCCTGGACGCCATCAAGCGACTACGTGGCGAGACCGGGGCGGGGATCATGGACTGCAAGCAGGCGCTGCAGAAGAACGGCGGCGACGAGGAGAGCGCCCGCGAGGTAGGGGGTGGGCGCGGTGTCTCCGGGTGACGCGGCGCTGCTTGGTCGCGGGTCGCGCCGCCGCAGCTGGCGTCCGTGCGGCTCATCCTGGCAGATGGACGCCGGGTCCCGCCCCAGCTGGGCCTTGGCAGCCCCACCTCGGTGTAAGCGTTGCCTTGTCCACAGGCGTGCATGTCTCAGCGCCGACAGAAACCTACTCTGCTGTATCACACACAGTGGCTCCGGAAAAAGGGTCTGGCTTCTGCTGAGAAGAAGGCGGGGCGGTCTGCCACAGAGGGGGCTATCTGGTCGTTCGTGCACGGCAGCAAGTGAGGGATGGGAGTATGAGGGGTGGATGCTTGGGTTAGGCAGGCCTGGGAAATGTGCAGCGCATGATCGTGAGGCGTCAGGCAGTTCTGAGACGGAGCCAAAGTGTGCTAGGCAACGCCGTGCATGTCAATCACGCCATGCCTAGCATCGCCTCATTTCCCGTGGCCCCTTTATCAGGATCGGCGTGCTCCTGGAGGTGAACAGCGAAACAGACTTTGTGGCCAGGAGCGACGAGTTCAAGGATCTGGCCGCTGACTTGGCCATGCAGGTGCTGGGAGGAAAGGGAGGCGGAGGAGGGGTGGGTGTGATGGTGCCACCTTGCTATGCATGGTGGTTTGAAGAGAGACAGAGGACGGAGGTAGGCACCCTACTGAGCAATGATTAGCTTGCGAGCTTCCTTGCCCCCGCTCTCATGGATGCACTAGGTGGCGGCCTGCGCGGGCGTGGATGTGGTGAACCTAGAGGATGTGCCAGCCGCTGAGATTGAGCGCGAGCGTGAAATTGAGATGGGCAAGGAGGACTTGCTGAAGAAGCCAGAGGCCATCAGGTGCCATTGGGGGTTGGGTTTTGGGGTGGGGCGCTGATCGAGGAATGTGCAGACATTGTTAAACCGCCTGGGCAAGGATCCACTGGTTGGCCCAGGTGGAGAGCAAAGAAAGCAACGTGTTTCGCTATTGTCGCGTAACAATTGATAGGGCATGCAGCCTCACTCTCCCCTCACCTTACTCATCGCAACACAGGGGCAAGATGGTGGACGGGCGTCTGCAAAAGTACGCCGCCAGCCGTGCGCTCCTGGAGCAGCCCTTCATTCGCAACACGGATCTCAGCGTGGCGGAGCACCTGAAGGGTGTCGCCGCCAAGCTGGGGGAGAACATCCAAGTCCGACGCTTCATCCGGTGAGCTGGTCTGAGGTGGGATTGGATGAGAACAGGGCCCATTATGAGACTTGCATGTTCAAAACGGTCAGCATCTCTTCGAGGGCCCTTCAGTGGCATCATGGCACCAATTGGTTCAAAGCCCAGGGACGTGTCAGCTGTACATTTGTTTCCCCACATTGACAACCTTCTCACCCTTAACTGCACCTTCCTCCCTTGCCACCCGCAGGTACAACCTGGGCGAGGGTCTGGTGGGCCGCACCAATAATCTCGCGGCCGAGGTCGATGCCCAGGTGGCCGCCATGTCCAGCGCCAGCCAGTCCGGCAAAGCCGCCGCGCCGGCGCCCGAGGCCGCTGCTGCCGACGGCGGCTCCGGCTCTGAAGCAGCCACAGCCGTGATCACCATCTCGCCCCTGGCCATCAAGGAGCTCCGAGCCGAGACGGGGGCCGGCATCATGGCATGCAAGGCCGCGCTGCGTGAAGCTAACGGCGACGCGCAAGCGGCCTCAGAGGCGCTGCGCAAGAAAGGGCTGGCCAGCGCCGAGAAGAAGGCGGGGAGGGCGGCGGCCGAGGGTGTCATTGGCGCCTACATCCACTCCGGCAACAGGTGCAGGGATGTGTGG